TTTGTAGGGTGAGTCCTAGGGTTGAGATAGTGTCATCAGACATAGAATATGGGCACATATAAGCCGCAGATTGGCAGAAAAATGGGTTAACATATTTCAAAAATTTCCGGGGCATGCTCCCCACACCCCCCAGCACTGGCATGCGCTACGGCACGCAGGCCTGCCTGCGCAGGCAGAGTTAATTTCGCCGCCGGACCGCTATGCGCCGATCATCCCCGGCACTCCTCGTACGGATTCTACGCCCCTGTAGGTGTGTGTGCGCAGCCCCGCATGTATTAGCTACCTCGCTGTGGTACATTTGAGGAAAGCCCTGGAGAATAATTTCGCCGCGAAAGTGGAAAAAGAACGCCTGGAACAATGAAAAAGTAAGCCCCCGAAATTTTGGGGTTGGTTGCAAAAAGAGCCCCGGAAAAAAAATTATTAATTTTTTCACCTGGAAAGAGGCTAGGGGTTTTTGATATTAAACAAATTATGCAAATAGGTAGGTTAAATGCAATTTATGCAAAAACTGCCGATAACAAACAGTCTGTGGTGCACCACTCATCTGGTTCCGTTTTACAAGATTCATTGACCAAGTATCTTTAATGTCAATATGTGGTTTATTCCTGCCTCCAGCTCATGCCGATAAAGTCATGGTCTATATTAGAGTAAAAGTTTACAAAACTATGTCGGAATGCAGCATAAAATCGTATTTATTTGAAGCCGATTGCTACAGAAGCGGGCTATAGCGCGCTCATCTACCGTCACAAATTTGTTTCATTTGTTTATAATTACTTATTGCGATTATACAGATGGCAACGTGTGCTACCTACCGCCTAGAAAAACTGCATACGAAGAGTAACACTTCCAATGTACCAACCAAAATTTGCCTTTGACAAAATTGTGTTATGGGCATGGAGAAACACATTGCACGGTGGTACAATAGCAGGCTACGGAGATAAGCGTATCCTCTCAATCTTACACCCGTTTACACCATCAGGAGCTCCGCTTTATAGGCAGTTCATAAATCTGAATATTATAAAAACGTTATTTGTGGTGAGCTACAGTGTCATGACACTTTCATTTATTTTATAACGAATTTACTCTGCTTCTCCATAGGAGTTATTATGTATTTATTGTTAAATTAGTATTATTTGCATTGCAAGAAAAAGTCATGTAAATGTTCATCTTTTAGGGTCGGAGAAGTTGCAGTCAGTGCCATCTGGAGGCGGAGGGCTCCTGCTGCCGCCGCGCTGTGGCAGGTGCCAGGAGGAGCTGGCAAGGCTGAGGGTAAGTTGGGCGGCATATATTCCTTGGAGAATAATTCGTAGTAAGAAATTATATCCGGCATATTAGAAGCAAATAAAAAAGCAATGTGTTCCCAGGTCAAAATTTTAAGCGTACTTTCTATGAGTGTTGAAAATATGAACTGCATATATCTTGAGTAAAAAGACAGTTGTGAGAAGTGATCCTGTCAGGCAGGCCAGGATTTCAAAGTGTAGGCACGACTATCGCAGGAAGCGGTGGGAGGCGGCCACCATCGTTGAGCGCGAGCGTAACAAGAAAAGTTTTGGGTTTGTGGCAAACCACAAGAATGGCCGGAGAAACGCCTTCCCGAGTGTTCATTCTGGTTCCCTGGCCTCCTTGCTAACTTGAGACACCCTCATTCAATATGCACTTTTGAAACCCAAAAAACAGCAAACGAGTTAAAATAGTGTTACGAACGAGTTAAAATGTTAAAAAACTGACAAGATCGGATCCTAGTCTTTTTCGGCGGGTAGAGTGTTGAATGAAACGGCACGTGATAGAAATGACAGCCTAGATGACAGAAGAATAGGTCACCTAATTTAGCCATATTCTTGCTACGTTCATTTCAATAGTTTTTCCTGTCTAGACTCTTAAACTCGTCCAGCAAGCTTATGGATTTGAATTATGGGTGTTTTAAAAAAAAAGATAACTTGGCCAAAAAAAGTGTAGGCCCGGGCCTACAGTGCTACATACTGGCTACGCCCCTGCCTGTACATCTTATGTGTGCAGCAGTGTTGTAGTCGAGACCCTCCCCCCCACCCAAGTCCGAGTCCAGTTTTGATTAAAAAAAGGGGGGGGGGCACAGACTGACAAGGCCACTCACTTCTATGTATGTGTTTGTTCAAAAATGGGGGTGTCTCCTGCCCCCTGGATCTGTCACTTGTTTGTATTAGGTAGGAGTTTTAGTTTTAAATTCTTGTAAACTGCGTGTTTACAATATGTACAGTTATGTACTATAGTGGCCTCGAGCCGGCCTCAACCCGAGTCCGAGTCCGAGTCATTGCACTCCGAGGCCAAGACCAAAGAAACCGGCCTCAGGACCTACAACACTGGTGTGCAGATATTGCACATGGTCACAACTGTCAATAATTACTGCTTACACATCCTCGCCTGTAATGTAGTTAATAGGGATGCTGTCTACCAAGCAATAATGCGTATAATGCCTTGTCATTTCAACAGAAGCAGCTGAGGAGGCAAAGAAACCCCCGTCCGAACCAGAAGAGTCTGATGATGACATGGGATTCGGTCTTTTTGACTAAGCGTCGTCGCTGTGCATCTGGTGTAGTCTGCCCTTGCTACTCACATCGCTTCCAATAGGCAAGAACGTCGCATTGTCGCGCTGTCAGCATCTGCTTTCTAATTCCCTGATGTCGTATTTCGTAATAAATATGTAACGTCGTGGACCAACACACTGCATTTTTTTTTAATTTCATCCTGTCTGTCTCATGTCACTAATATCACGTATCATATTGCACTGCTTAGGGGGAGACAGGTAACAGTGAATAGTAAGAACGGCTCTGCGGCAGAGAGAAGGTTATTGAATCTCTTGGTGGGGTACTGTAACACTGTTAGTTAGTAACCGGTGGGGCTGCTACAAATAATGACCTACTTTAATGACACAGTTGGAAGTTTCATGAATTACTTCTACATTTATTAATAATCAATCCATTATAAGCATTAGGATATCAGAATGATATAGTACACGCGTTTTCGTTTCTCTACACTATGTAAGTGTAGGGTAAATTTTCGACTTGTACAGCCACATTGCATTAATGTCAGTAGTATACCTATTTATGTTTCAAAACCATAAAATAGATACATTAGCTATCTTCAGCACTATACTATACACTACATGAAGTGAGAGCATCAAAAACAAAATCGTAGAGGAAGGAAACATGAGTCATGGATTTATTATAAGGTATCACTCAGAGCTCTTACTTGAACCTGAAAAATGCACGAGAAAATACATTGTACAGGATAAATACATTTATCAGGCAAACTGGTGTGCATACACGCGCAGTTCGCGCGCAGAGGGAATATCATTGTTACGTCAAATATGACGTTCTCGCGCCATCTATCCGTAGAAATAATTCATGCGCACATTGTATGTTGTGTGTAACCGTAAAATGAATTATTAAAGGTATTATAATACTCTAAATTCTAAAACGTATTTAACGCAGAGGGGAATTAATATAATTACAGTACCTATACAGAACAATATTTACTGGATAAGGTTGGTAAAGGTTTGGCCATGAAATTCCCATCCTACACTTCGAAGTATGTATTTCAATAATGTAGCAGCGATTATGATCAAATATGACATCCTCGCGCCATCTATCGGTAGAAATAATTTATATGCGCACATTGTATGTTATGTGTAACCGTAAAATGCATTATTAAAGATATTATAATACTCTAAAACGTATTTAACGTAGAGTGCAATTAATATAATTACAGTATCTATACAGAACAACATTTACTGGAGAAGATTGGTAAAGGTTTGGCCGTGAAATGATCACCTAGATACAATGTGCGCATATGAATTATTTCGACCGATAGATGGCGCGAGGATGTCATATTTGATCAAAATTGCTGCTACATCATGGCAGCCCCCGTAGCTGCTTCTGCGAAAGCAGTTTCGTCTCTTTTATGTGGGTATTCTACTATTAATCTGTCACGGTGAGTTGGTGTGATAGTATGTTTAAATATTAAAGTTACAGTAGTGTCAGTAAATCTAAACCTAATACTGATTACATTCTAACAGGAATAAGTTTAGGCGAAGGAGAAATGGAGGTCATCAATTTAGGCCAGAAACATCACATTCACAACAAAAACAAACAAAAAACAAATTATGTATCCAAGTTTTGCGATGCACATACATAAAGATAATATATATAATATGTATTCTAATACTTTTATAATACAAACGTATGGGTATGCCAAAGCCATAGAAATATGTAGACGTAGTATTACTATTAGTAAACAATCCGCTATTGCTGAAACACTGAGACGTTCTTAGACTTATTCCGGTGTGGACACACTAGGCGATTTTTCATGCAATCCAGAGAGACATGATACAAGATTGCGTGGCACAGCTTTGCTGTTGATCCTAAGCGCTGCGCGCGGATGAGACGCGAAGTTCCGCGGGATATGCGCACGCGACCGCGGG